GAGGCGGAAGTTTGCTATTGCAAAGTGAAACTATTTCGTGATCATGGTGCGGAGCGAAAGCTGTCTAATGACGTTGCCCACGTTAAGAAGTCCATTGAGAAACTCAGACAGCAGATCGCTCAGGCTGAAATGGGAGCTGGCAACTACGGAAAGCGGAAGCGTAGCGGTGGCTCGATTGCGCTTAAAGGTTCTGACGCTCGCCCTACGAAGATCACAAAACACAAGCGGACATGGTCAATGGGCTCCCAAGATGGCGACAGACTGTCTATGGAAGATGATCTACATATAAAACTGGCTTTAATGCAAGAAATGTTCACATCTACCCGACCAGTGAGCATTCTTGGCTTGCAGGGTGATGAGCAGGATGACCCCGACCTTCACCCGGTTCAACTCCCCGAGCCTCGTGATTTTGTCAAAAAGGAGGGCAAGAGTGGCCCTCGGTTCAGCATTGATGGATCGGCTGGTTTCTCGACCTTGTCACCGACGAACAGTTGCATTTCGTTGAGCTCAACTTGCCATACCCCGACCGTTCAATCACAAACGGGCTTATATTATGACTCAGGCTACCAATGCTCGGTGAATACATCCGCAGAAAACTCACGACCCGGCTCCGAAGCTTGCGGAGACAAAGTTGTTCTGAAGCATCCCATAAAAATCCAGAGGGTGGCGAATGGAGACGGGGATATGCCCATGGGATTTATTGAGGCGGTGGATATCGATCCAACATATAGACCACCGGCCGAACGCCAGCCCAAGCCCAGTAAGTAGCATGAAATAAAACATGCGTTATGCCACACTCGCTAACCATGGCTTAGTTGCATGTTTTTATATTCGATTCCCACGCAATGATCAAGCTAAAGATGGTTATTACCGAGCTGTTTATCTGACAGAACGGACCGTCCGCGATCTGATGGAGAAGATCTCTGTCAAACAACGCATAGATCCACAGCGTATAGTGCGCGTGCTTCGAGTCAATAAAAACGGTCTGAATATCATGGTTGATGACGATGTGGTTCGCGAGCTGCCTGATGGTCAAGACATGGTGGTCGAGATCTCCGAGGCCGCTGCTTTTGATAGCCCAACAGCCATCGATCCCGACAATATGAGCTCTGGTGTTGAGCTCAAGCTAAGCTACTAACTCCTTTACTGGCCCATCCGTGTCTTTTTAGAAGCCCTAGTCTGAAAAGCTTACTTTTCCATATGTCCTTTTCTTTAACTCACGTTGGCAATGATAATTACCAAAGCAAAAGCGGTCCTTTCCGGGTCGTCTTGTTTTTCTTATCGGCGCCTGGTGCGCATCAAACCGACTCGATCTCTCACCATCCTGTTAGGTCTTTAATACCTTCATTTATGTTCTTTATTTTTCTCATTATTTCTTTTCCTTTTGGAGTTTCGGTTGTGTGTTTTGTTGGGGGCGTTGGATACGGGGATAATACACGAATCTCCGAGCAATGATACCCTGTCGTTATATGAGTTTTTGATCTTCTCGTGATTCTCACTTTCTTGTGCCATATTTACGATATCCTAAACCCTATCTGCACTCGAATTATCTTTCCCCTTGCTCCTCCCACTCCTCACTCTGCCTTTCCTTCTTGCCAGGCTGGTGGGAATACACATCCACAAGCATTGTTATTGGTTTCATGACTGTTGTTGTTCCGAGGCGAACTGATTCAAGGGCTCAGCATACGATATAGATACCCTGTTCCGTTTATGTAATACTTGGGCATGATTGTTTTGTTACACTTCGCAAGCCTTATTTTTCGTTTTTGAGCGTGGACTGATTGTTTGTTCAATGGGGTTTATGATCTAACTCCAATGTGTTACCATTCAATTTCTCAGCCGGCCTATGACTCTGTCATGATTTGTGCGGGAACTGGGCCGGCTCCTGTTGGCATGATATAATCTCTTCTGATGGAATGTCTTGAACGAAGCAGTATCAACTATTGATCATATGAACCGCTCGGAAGCGGAGGATTGGGATATATTACGTGTTGTGCACCAAAGTCTAAGCTCAGAGTATACAGATCAATTATTTATTTTTATTTTTTTTTAAAAAAAATTAGTCGGGTTATTTAAAAGTCCATATGACAGGTGTTCTTCTGTCCTTTCAATTCTTTTTTTTACCTCCGAACATCCCCACTGACATAGACCGAGTTGACTATTTGCGGTCTATGCGTGACCCCTGGAAGATTCCAAGGTCATTGAATGGTCACGTGCAAACGCTTCGCAAAAGTGGCTGCATTAGCGGGCCGTGCTAGTCCCAGAGCGACTTTTCTATAAGCTTACCTACTAGTACTACTAGTCCTAGTAGTCGTAGCGCTGGTTTTTTGATCTGTCACTAATATCAATATTAATCACGGATGCTGTATCTGTTAGTGCTATCATCAAGGGTAAATGTCACAGCCCTTCGGGCGAGGATTCAAAATCGAGATGAAGGGGTGCTACTACGGTTTCCGCGTTGCAGGGAAAACTACCCCAATGACTGACTGTTACTCCAATCGACGAAGTTTTGCATTCCAATCTCCAAATTAGGTTGAGGAATCTAGATCGTCCTTTTCAACATTCGTCGGGACGATCATACGCTTCGGGATCTGCTTTTGGCGGCCCAAATTGGGAACTAAGCCGTGACCACATGGCCGAACCTTTTTAAGTTACTGCATGCAATGTCTATCTTGCCTGGATTGGGCTAAAACCACATTGTCAGTAGTATTATGGAAATTGGACAACCATGGGAGCCCCATGCAAGGCGGAACTGTCGCATTTGATAACTGAGAGGAAGTCTGCGATCCTACTTTTTCCGTATCGAAGATTTGTTCAAAGGTGTGTTCTTCAGGGGTCACCCGTCATACTCTGGAGGGTTATCGTGGACGATTGTTAGTATGTAGCATGCGGATACTACTAGTAGTATCTGATTTCGAATCTCTAACCAATCATTGACCGCGGAATTGAGACGGTATGAAGAGTGCTGAGGTGTAGATGTCCACCTTCCAGGCCCTTCTTTCCTATCAACACATCCTCGATTTGATTCGTCCTTGCATTCCTTTCATCCATTTGCTTTAGGAGACGCGCAAGCTGGCCCATAAGGTGCTGGATTCTTCCTCTCTGCGCTAATTGACTATTATCTAAATATATTTGGATTAGGGGGGCCATAGTGAAGGTCTAGATCGGTTATCTTTTCCATAAACGTATCTGGACAAAGGCACCACTGGGGATCTGACATCATAGCTACCGTTTTATCACTCACAAATTATCTTGGGAGACCTCGCGATGTCGTCATAGTTTGAAACCGACTAACCGACTCGACAAATTTCCTTGGAAAAATGAATTAGCGGTAAATTGGCGCGTGCTCCCCACTCGGGTCGTGCCGATGTGGGCCTGCGAACTTGTCCATGTAACAATCGCTAATTTAGCCTGGAACGTTTTTTCCCGTACGTACGAGTGTACACTCATACGTATGAGCATACATGGCGACGGAAACTAGACGGTATACGGTATTCGTATTTCAGACCTAGCGTTCGTGCTTGCTACCTATCCTGAACTACCCTTGGTACATAGTATGCATTGCACCTGGGATATCGTTCAGAAGGTCGGCAAGATGAGAGTCTTGTACTACGTATTGAAATCGCACATTCAATTACCTGGTACTTGTATCGTGCGATTGACTCGGGGATCTTTCCTTTCGTTCGATTCCGTATCAAATTCATATCCTCGAACGGTTCATAGAGTAACGGCGGCTTTGTTTTTCGCAGGACGCTCGTCTTGAATTTGGCTCAATTAAGCTCATCCTAGTGTGGACCAGTGGCATTACGGGCGAATTACCCTGGACTGGTAATGTACGGGACCCGAGGGCCTGGCTGTCTAGTGGGCAGGCCACTGACCCAATTTCTCCCTGTATATCATAAGAGACTGGGGTGATTGGCTGATCCTGGCGTGCAGAGGGCTAACACTGGGCGGGTTAGAGGCTCCCTACTGGGGTGGGAAGCGTGTCTCGGTCGATCTTATCGTCCTCACGTTATGTGAATGGCAACTCTGTGCACCGATGGTGGATACGATGCTAACGGTGGCTTCGGCACCGTTTCGAGGTGGAGGTGGAATCGCCGAGTTTTCTTTCGGCTGAACGGGCTCTAGCCAGGGCACACTAAGTGTCTAATGATTTGCACAGTTGTTATGCAAAAATAGTCCTGTGTTGGTGGTTTCAATTCCTGGGTGGCCGTTGAGGTCCACATCCGATGAAGCTGTCCTATCAGTTCAAGCCCCCCAAATTGTTGCCTGAGACACCCATTCGCTTTCTAAATACATCCTTTTCTTATACTCAAGCGTAGCTGGGGTTTCCAGATGAGTGTATCATGGTTTATCCGCCCTCTCGTGTGACACGTTGAGTTGAGCTTGTCTACATGTGTCACCATATAACCCCGGCGTCGAAGTTTCAATAAATCCCCCCCAATATCTCCTTTTGTTCTGTGGAACAATTCCCCATCTTCAGGCAGTACATGGACTCCCACTGTGCTACTAGGATAGATACTACGAGTAATGCCCCTCAGATTTCAATTTCTGCCGCATATGCATATGCATACACATATGTGTGTATGTTCAAGATGCACCCTGGAAGAACTTCACTTGGGTATCTTGCCCTCGCATTTGATACTATACTTAGCAGCATCAAACAGTGAATGTCAAGTCACATGTATTCAGGCCCATCAATGCCAATCAGTTCATGCCTTCCCTTCTAGGAAAACTGTTCGTTGCACCTTCTTTCCAAGGCAAGAGGGTGTCACGGGCAACGCCTGACTCTCCCCCTCTTTCTCTTCTCTGCTCGTCTGGCTTTCTCCCTCTTCTTCCCTTTTTCTCCAACTTATCTATCCCCTCTACTCTTCACGCTCGCTTCCATCCATCAAGATTTTTTTTTTCTTATCCATCCAGCTTTCTCTCTGAACCTGCCAACTTTCATTTACCCGTTCTCTCTCAGCCTCAGCGTGCTTTGAAAGCTCTACCCCTTCGAGATGGCTTCCAACTCGTCCTTCAAGCTTCTGATCTTCCTCACCGTCTTGGTCCTCGCGGCCATGGTTCCCGCCTTGGGTAAGTACAGTACCGCTACGGAGATCGCCAACAAACACACCACTTACATTGATAGATGTCACGGAGAATCTTGGCAATGTCTACGATGATGACCACTTGCTGGGCATTCCTACCTGTAAGTTCTCTAGATTACACCCAAAAGATGACGATATCTCTGATCATAGCGCGCTCGCTAGTTGATGAACCTCGCGCTTTGGTCCCCCGCGCTGGTAAGTTTCCCGGCCTGTCATTAGTTACATCCAATCGCTAATCAAGCATTCTTCAGGTTTCGTAACTGTTACTGTTACAGACACAGTGTGTGCTCCTCCGCCCGTGGCTACCACTTCTCAAAGCACGGGTACCGCTCCTGGAGCCCCGGGTGCACCCCCAGCCCCTACTGTGACCACCCTCTCTGAGACTACCGTGGTGACTGGTTCTGCTCCTACCGACACTGGTCCTACCGGCACTGGTCCTACCGGCACTGGTCCTACCGGCACTGGTCCTACCGGCACTGGTCCTACCGGCGCTGGTTCCACTGTCATCACCGCGACTGGAACCGTTTCCACATCAGTTTCCACTAAGTCTTCTAGCGGGTCCAGTACTGCTCACCCAACTAGCTCCCAGTATACAGGGCAAGCAGGTACTACCGCCACTGCCAGTGGTAGTCAAACTTCTACCGTTGCCCCGACTTCGAATGAAGCGGTTGTGCAGGGGAGAATAAGCAACGTTTTGCTGGTCCTGGTAACGACTTTCATTGGCTTCCTGATGACCGGAGCGTCCATTGGCATTGCGGCACCGGGTGCCTACCCATGACGTTGGTAACTTCATAGTGGTCTGGTGTTACAGGGTTGATTGTTTTCAGCAGCATCTGGGATGACTGACCATGGATTTCCTTGTCGTTTTGAGATCGCGTCAGAATCGTTTTTTTTTTGTAGTTACAAGTTTGCTACGGGGTGCATTAGTGATTACACTCCCTGCTCCCATTAATATTGAGACGATCGATGTTTGTTTACGGAGCGGTCAGGTCCCGCCTAATCTAAAAGAGACTCTTGCAATTCTCATATTACTTGCACTGTAATTGGTACTACCATGGGTATCTCCTAAGAAACAAAACTATACCGTCTGTGGTCGCGCGAGGGAGCTATGTAGCGGAACCAGCCGTCCTTCACCGACATCGATATTAACATGCACTAAAGCATCTCCGAGAATGACATTTGTGGAAGTGCTCTCAGCAAAGCTTGTAACGAGACACTGTTGGTACGTTTACGTATCAGTTTCTCCGATCGCTTCAATCTCCTTCGTAAGAGCACAAATTCGGCAGCCATCGCCAATCCGGTCCCGGAGAAGACGAGCAGTGGTGACCTTGGGACCAACAGTCCGGGATGTAGACATCGAGGGCTCGTCCAGCGTTGGTGTACGCGGTTGCCGGGACGACTTTGGAGTTTGAGCAGCCGACCGACTTTCCGGCGTGGTTTCATCGGAGGGTTCAGTGGCATGAATGTGGGAAAGATGGAAGATGTGTCCGCAAGCGAACCCAACGAGAATCTCCTTCTCTGCCAGTTTAATAACCATTAGTTTCAAGATCCAGGAAAACAAGCGACCGAAGAAAGGAACAAAAACAACGGCTACAAGTTTAAACAGAGATAAAACTTACCGTTGGCGTGGAAAGGAAGTTGACAACCTGCACATCTCCCGACTTGTGTTGGAGTATGTGGTGGTACTGAAGTCTTTTCAGAGCCGGCGTCACTCTTCGCTTCGTCTTTCTCGGTCACCCCGGAAAGGGTAGCCGCTGATGATGCTGGTCGCTTTTCTTCTTCAACGACATTGAACTTGATGCCCCGTCGCTGACCTCGGCGTAATGTGTCCATGCCCACTGCGACCTCGCTTTGGAGGACTTTGGCGGCGCCTTGACTAATACTTGCCTGGAGATCGTGTTCTCGGATCAAGTGCGACAGGCCCTCGCGCAGGCCTTCGATTTCTAGTCCGCTGGGGATACGTCGGACGAGCTTGATTGGGTCGATGGCCGTACCGGCTTCCACTAGGAGACCGTGGATGAAACGCGGTTTGTCCATTGAGTAGTCGAGGAGGTCCTCCCAGAGGTCTGGTTCGCCTTGGGACTTGGCGAATGAGATGGCTTGTGATACATCCTTTAGTTCAGAGAGGATGAGGTTCAGGGCTCGCTTTGTTTGACCCATCTTTGATAGGAGATAGATGAGCTCGGGTGTAAAGCGGCGGCCTTCGCAAATAGTCACTGCCAAGTCGAATGTGTAAGCGGTGCTAGTTTGCAGGAACTCCATCAATAATGTACGGTCGTAGTTTGCAAAAAGCTCCACTGCTGTATCGGCGAAAGTGTCAACCAGCGCTTTTCCTTCGTCGGCTGCTAATTTGCTCGCTGCGTCCCGGATGTGGGCGAAGTGGCCCCTTCGGGGTTTAGTAGCGCCATGTGGTAGAGACTCTCCTCGCCAAAGAGACCGCAGATAGAAATAAAGGAATAAGAGTCGGTTTGCTGCTTTCAGCTGGTTGACGACGGTCTCTGGACGAACGATTCCTGTATATGCTTCGCTCACGAGGAGCTTGATGGGCTCTGCTGTGAGCTCCTCCAGCTCAGATTTGGGCGCTGACTTGAGCTGCTCCTTGGATACCCGGATCATGATAAATGCCGGGATATCGTCAGAGACTGCATCCAGTAAACGATGCTCTCTTGTCAAAGACATCGCCGTGTCTGCATCTTGGAGTCGGACATAGCAACGTAACGCTTCACCATAGTGACCACCAGCTAGATACAGCTTGGCAAGACAATTCATCAAAATGCGCCACTCATCTGAATCGGGTGCAATTGAGCCTGATTCAAGTTGCTCTTTAATAATCGATATGATTCCGGCGACATCGAACAGATCGAACGGCCAGGAGTCTATGATCTCACTAAACCTATGTCTGTCCTGAGTGACATAATGACCAAGAATGGTTTCATAGATTGCTGAAGATAGAGGCGGGTGCATATCGGTCGGGATGACAGGTGATATCTCATCCAGCCTATCGCGCTTTATGAAAGTCCAAGCCCAATGTTCCCAACGTGGTGCGGTATGAAGTGCTTTTACACAAACCTCAGCCGCCTCCTTCCAGTTATCCGCCTCAACTAACTGCTGTATCCATAGCTCGCCAATACGCCGCTTTTCTTGCTCAGCAGCGGAGATGATTCCTCGACCGGTGGTTGTCGTAGAAGACCTATCATCTGCTAAGAATTCGCCAAGCGTAGTTGGAGCTCTTGCCAAAGGAGCAAACATGGTATCGCTCTGTTCACTTGCAGATCCTGCTGCCTCGGGATGCTCATCGATGAGCTTCCATGCTTCCTCGTATTTCTCGTGTGCGTCCAGCCATGCCAGTCGATCTGCGAGATCTCTTTTCAATGCAACGACACAATCATACGGACTATGTATGAAGATCTTGGGCCCCACATTCCCTGAGATATCTTGTATCTCTTTAGACAAGGGCTCCTCTACAGATATCCGACGGGAGGTATAAGTGCTGGGTGCTTTACTAGACCCTTTGTCGCCGCTGCTAGTCGAACTGCGAATACTGGCACCCGAGCTGAACAAGCGTGCAGGGTACATAGTTGCATCCCAAAGGCCACTCCCGAGAGCTTCCAATGCGCCTTTCTGTGAAACGGATACAGTTGTCTTCCAGGGAGGTAGAACACACATATGATAGTCGGAAGACGTGAGATTCTCGTATCGGCTGACTGAAAGTGTATCCGCACTGAGCTCTTCTTTGGTCTCAATATCGATTATCCGAAGCTCAGGCTCTAATCCCTTGGGGCGATGGCGTCCTTTGGGATGGAGGACTCCGTGTTTGGATCGTTCATCTCCTGAAACATCCTCTTCAGCCTCGATGTAGGCGAGAACCACCAAAAGGCTGGGAGTATACAATGAGATTCCGGATATAATACAGTCAGTTCGCAATCTGAAGATCGGTTAGAAATCGGTCAAATCCAGTACTTTAAAGACTTACATTGTAGAAACCTCTACAGATCCAATTCTTTGGTCTCTGTTGTTCTTGCTTGGTCGATCAGGATAAACTTCAATTACCCAGACCGTACCACCCCAACCCACTACCAACTTCTCTACCTTTTCTTTGGCGGATGTAACGGTGGAGTGGTCGTGGAGTGATGCCCCGCCTTTGTGCTTCGATGTCTCCTCGCCATCAAGAGCAGTGCCGTCAACCCATTCAGCGCGAGCCTTCCAAACACTAGACATTTCTTCCCATCCAGGACGGTTGGGGCGGTCAATGTGGCTGATGCGTTTCCAGGCATATTCTGAGTCAGACGAATCTAAGTGAAGGTTTGATCGCATGATTTTGATTCCTTCTTCATTGACCCAAACAACAAATTTGCCAGATAATGACCATTTTATCGTGCTAATGGCTCCTTCACCACTATGTAGTATGGTATCCTTGCCGGTGTTGCTCCCGAGACCAATAGAGCCAAGCCAGCTCGTAGCTGCAGCTGCAGCACCCCCCATCGTGGTCGAATTCGTACTTGCTCCCACTCGGCCACCTGTAGTGAGGATCAGGTCACCTGCCCGGCCACCAGATAAGAATGTCCTGTCACTCTTGTACTCTGGTGATAGTGCGACAGCTTGTACAGGCCGACCAAAGTTGCGTAAGAGGACGTCCTTGGGATCCACAAGAGATGCAACGCACACATTACCATCTATAGAAGACGTCGCTATATATATCGAGTTCGAGGGCGTAGAGGAGAGCACCGGGGGGTTGTTCGGCCTTGGCCTGCCCCGAAGACTGGAAGCGCCGGACGATGGTCTGGAGTAGTGATCCTGCGCTTCATGAAGCCTAATGCTGTCGGGTTTGGTGTTCGGTAACGGTGGGGGAAATGGCGAGACTGATATTGAAGTGACGCTAGCAGAGTGTGCATGGTAAACACGGAGAGATTGGAACAGAGGTAGTGATAACGCATGCTGTGGAATGTTAGTTGCGGAGTGTACTCGAGGGCAGCCGGGCAACATACAATATTACCATTATGCGTTCCAATTATCTAAACAAATTCTCAGCTTCAGCTAGCATCTTCGTATTCACAGATATCATACCATCTTGTCTCCAGCAGCGAGGAAGGAGCTCGTTGCATCCCCGTTGCGGTACACCGCTCCCAAATGCTTCGTCAAGTACGCATATTTAAGGTGTGGCTCCTCTTCATCCTCCTCGTCCTCTTCTTCCTCCTCCCCTTCCTCTTCGCTATCATCCTCGGGCTCATTGTCACTTTGGTCCTCATCCTCGTGGTCCTCGTGCTCGTGATCGTTTCCTGCCAATTGATCCAGGTGGTTGGAGTGGGTACTGGACTCGTGAACGTTTTTCCCGGCGGATATCTCCAAGTCGGAACCATCCTGGCGGACACCATCCGTCGCCTCAGTCGCGCCAGGCGCGTCCATGGCGAGAGCCTTTACCGTACCAAATGGAGCTATGCTGAGGTGTCACTGATGCAAGAAAGCATGTCCGGATGTTGGGGTATGTCGGGGACCGGTTACTAAGCAGTACCTCTAACCAACTAACTAATTTCAGGTTAGCTCCAGTTACATCACCAAACTGAACCCGTTCTTTTACTTCCGCAGAACGGCCGCGGTCTTTCCAAAACCTCATTTACTCCAGATCTTCAACGGCCAAACCATATTTGTCATGGCACTAGTACTCAGTTACTTATTGCCTTATTCATTCTAATCTCTTTTGTTTCTTCAAAGTTTCCGTTTCTTCCAATTGCGTAAATGTTTGCAAAATCTTTCGTTGGCTCCATTTGCAAAAGACCCGCAGTGACCAGGCTTGTGAAACAGCCTCGGAGCCAATATCTTCATGCCACATCACCGTTCAGCCTTCCTCGACGCAAGGACTTCTTCTCATCCAATGCGTACCTTACTCAGAAACAATCAAAAGCCGGAGACGTGAGCGAGGAGGCGGGTCAAGAATTCCAGAAGCAACGGAGAAGAGGAGGTAGATCGCCGGCAGCGCCAACCTCGTTACGGAGAGTCGCGGTTGAGGCACAAAGATCAAAAGATGGTTTTCTCTCCAAGGCCATGCTCAAAGAGCAAGGGCTCTATCAAGCCAAGGTTTTTAACTCTCGCGTCTCGACGGTAATCTCAATCGCTGATTTTTGATTCATGAGCGACAGGTAGTGACGGCTTATGCGGTGGCCGAACAATTCAACATCCGCAAAGCGCGGGAAATTCTCCAAGAAAAAGGCTATGAGCCAGATCCCTTTGATACTGGCCTATACCCCCAGGTGGTTCATGTTCAGGTCCCTCTAGATTCCATTCGCCGCGTGAGCAACCCGGCCACTACAGACTTGGCTCCCAACGAAGTTGGCGATATTTTCGTTTTCCCGTCCGGTACCGTTGTGGCGTGGTCTCTCCCAGAAGGCTTTACATCTTTTCTCGCAACTAGAACCTTACTCCCTGCAGCCGAAAGACCTCATCTTGATAACTTAGAGACGGAAGATCTCGAGTATGTGGAAGATCCGCAACGAGATAGCAGCAGCATAAAGGGCGATACCATCATCCTAGGCACCAAACCAAGCAGCAATGGAGCAAGCCCGCAGCTTGATCGACAACCTGTGGATACGGTCCTAACTAAAGTGGCTTTTTCCTCCGGGCTGGCTCGGAGCACAAAGTTAGCAGTGTTGGAAACTTTGCTGTCGAATTATTTCGAATCAACTAGATCGATACCTACACTACTGTCACAAGGATCTCGCCTTCCATTTACAAGAGATTTTATCCTTCGAAAGACGGGGCAGTTATTGAGCGTACGCGCCCAGTTGAATCTCTATTCAGAGCTCACGGACTCTTTGCCGGACCTCTTCTGGGATAGCCGGCATGAACTTGGTTTGGAAGGATACTACGAACAGGTGGGAAGAGCGTTGGATGTCGGGATTCGGATTAAGCTCTTGAATGAAAAGATGGATTATGCGCAGGAAATAGCAAGCGTCCTCCGGGAGAGGCTGAGTGAGACACACGGGCTTCGGCTTGAATGGATCATCATCCTCCTCATCGCAGTAGAGGTCTGCTTTGAGGTTTTGCGATTGTGGAAAGAGCGAGTTCATGAGCAAGAGGTGCAAAAGGAAAAGGCTAGAGATGCGGTGAGATCTTGATAGCCTGCAAATGTGTGTGTATGTATATATATAAACGACCTAGCCTTACATGATACCCATCTCATTCTTTCAAAAGAACTTCAAACTTCATTTTCTACATAGAAAATTATCTAGGAATATGGCTCGGGTCAGGCTTGGTCTGTACCGGTATGTCGAGATAGTTACCTATCGATACCAGCGCCCAAAAAAGGCGGGATAAAGATTCACCGGACATTTGCTATGTTTGACGGATGGTACCAAGTATAAGAAAACGGGAAAGAAAAAAGAAACCAATCGAAAGAAGTGCCAGGAACCAAGACCGCAGTCAAGTCATGAGAGTTGGTTATCAATAGTCGGGGCTTACTAGTTATAGTTTCTCCACAGCTTACATAGCTCAGTTAAGGTTATCTAGCTTCATTTGTCTATCAGCTGACGGATCACATGTGGCAATCCAACTTAGTCATCGGTCATAGGACCACAGGGTACGAACGTCTATCTTGAGCTATCTTATTTATGTCCGATCATCTACTTCTCCTATTTATCCAATCGAGTAAATTGCGACAGATACTTAGTTTAGTTCTACCCCCAAGTCCCTTAGAGGAAGGAAGCCGGAGTGCGGAATACGCCACCTTCCCTACTAGCACTAGTATATTGCCATGATGCTCGAAGGAATTCCAGGACCACAACAGGTGCTAACTGCCTTGACGGGGTCCTTGGGACTCTCAAGCCTCCTTGGACCCGAAATTGAATCTTCACAAAGCAGCTTTCAGCACTGCTCTAAGGCTGAGCTCAGCTGCCAGACTCCGTATCATGGCCAAGACAAATGCTGCTTTAACTATCCCGGGGGGCAGTTCCTTCAATCGCAGTTTTGGGACGCCGACCCGGCCATTGGACCGGAGGATTCCTGGACTATCCATGGATTATGGTGAGTCTCTTACAAGGAGAACTAATATCTGTAATTGGGACACTGATTCCCAGCTCTTTTCAGGCCAGATTACTGCAATGGAGGTTACCCTCAATACTGCGATTCAAAAAGGCGGTATAGCAACATCTCCCTGATCCTGACTGACTCGGGCCGAGGGGACCTTCTGGATGAGATGCGTACCCTCTGGAAAGACTGGAAGGGCGATGACCCGAATCTGTGGGAACATGAGTGGAACAAGCACGGAACCTGCATTAGTACCCTAGAGCCTCACTGCTACGACATATACTACCCGCAACAGGATGTGGTAGACTACTTTGACAAGACAGTGGAGCTCTTCCACGGATTGCCTACACACGAAGTTCGTACCCGTGCATTGCTTTTGATTCCGTATCGCACCAACGCGCCTAGATAACTAATCTTTTACTAGATCCTTGCTGGTGCTGGGATCGTCCCTTCTTACACGGAGACCTACTCCCTGAGTGAGATTCATGACGCTCTAGTGAAGGCTCATGGGGCCGAAGTCGTCGTTAGATGTCGCCACCATAACCTGAACGAGGCTTGGTATTTCTTCAATGTCGCTGGACCTTTGCAAACAGGCAAATTTGTCCCTGCCAACCCAGGTTTGCTCCCCAGGCTCTGTTTCATCTAATCCGAAAGGCACACGATGTCTAACCACCCGTACTAGATGGCCAAACATCAAATTGCCCTTCCAAGGCATCCGGTATCAGCCAAAGACGCCTCGAAAGGGTGAACCAACCAAAACACGAGGACCATCGGAGCCAACAGATACCGGTACACCGAACTCAAAAAGAGGGAACCTGATCGTCACAACACAAGGCCAACAAAGGGGTTGTATCATCAGCCGCGGAGCCTGGTTCACATCAGGGACTTGCGCAACGTTCCGAATTGAAAAGGCCTCTGGTTCGTCCTTACATCTCGCTGTGCTTGTAACTGCAATTTTCCGAAAATGTGCTAACGATATACACCTCGTAGATGAGACATTCACATTGCAGTCCAGTAAGGGCAAGTGTTCTTTTGAAAAAGATACGTTCAGCTGTGGTCCTCGGATCAAGAACCCAGTTGAATTTAGTGTACGTTTTTAATCTGTAAATATCCATTCTTCAACCCAATTCTTACATCTCTTCTAGATCCAGGATGGCAAGCTCTCTTACCGGGGAAATACGACCTTCTTTGCTGATAAGGCACCTAAAGGCCCTACAAAGAGCAAAATCTATGCGTCACAAGAGGAACATCCGATTGAGCTGACAATAACGTGGAGAGGAAGTCATTAATTTCTCTTATCTTCGTGCTAGTGCGCGTATTGCGTCATGTAGCCGTGTATTATTTGTGTTCTACTGCTTAGGCATGGTTTATAGAATCCCTATAGATTGAATACTGAAACATAGAATGTTTCCAGGTCTGCAATAACCGAAGTACTGTCTATATGTAGATTTCTTTTTGTTTTGGTTTGTTTTTTCAGTGGATCTATTGCAGGCCTAAAGTACAGGTGGGCATGGCCACCAAGAACGACGATGTATCCAACAGCAAACAGTTCATACCCATTTAGTACAGTCTTCGAGTCTTAAAAGCAAATCACATGAACGTCATATAAACTCGTGAATAAAAAGAACGAAGGAATATAGGGCGTGAAGCATAACAAAGGAAAGGATGACCTGCAGAACTCCGTATAAATTGTCAAAAGTTGTTCCCGCAAGTCCCAGAAGTTGTCGTACATGTGTCGCTGAGCAAGTCACATAAAAGCAAAATGAAAATGTAACCACGTTGAGATGAATAAAAGAAAAGATCGAAATGCCCGAAAAAAAGTTCTGTCACAAAGGTCGTTGGTAGTGGAAGTTGATCATTGGAAAGTTTTGATGAGTCGTAAATTGTACATAGTTTCGTTGTGCCATTTTTGAGAGTTCGTTTGTCATATGCATGGTTTCCAGTCGTCTATATCTCAGTCATGAAAGTTGCTCACATTCACCATTATTCAAGTGTCGTTGCGTCGTCAGTCTCCATCAATGTTCCTTCGTGTCTATTAGTTGTCGTTTGCGAGTCCTTCATTCCAAGAAGAATTCCCTTGTCATAACGTCGGATGGTTGTTCGTCCATCTGGAATTGGAAAGAAAAGAAATCGTCACCCATTGAGGGACCGGTAGAGAAACTTTTGCCTTGAAACAAATCCATGCCGTTGTCAAAAGCGGGGCCATTCACATAATCAGGGAATGCCGCCATGTCAGGGTCAGTCAAGCCAGGGAACTCGTGCTTGCTGAAGCTTGTAGATGGATCTTGGTTGATGAAAATATCTAAGTCGGGGCCATTTGAGGAGTCGGTCAGAGTGGGTGCGGTGTGTGGAGAAGACAGGGCATGAGCCGTCGAGCTTGTAGCATTTGTGTAGGGGCAGGCTTCAGGGTCCGAAATTAGAGGTAGACTTGACTCCTCAATGATTCTTTCCAGGGGCCGTTTTGATGGAGACAAAGGTGGCATTTCATCTTCCGTGCTGGGTGTAATCGATCGGTGACTGTGGGCAGGTGATGGTCTGTTTCTTATGCTACCTCCAGGAGAGGCGGGAGGTGTATAAGTCAGGACCTCAGGGGGCAATGAATAATTGATATTGCTGAACATTGGCATCTCTCCCACCGGACTAGAACCCTGAAGGCTCATGTTTTCGAAGACTTCTGAAGGCGGCGAATTGCGCGAGGTGTCTGATCCAGAAGAGTCAAACGATGACTTTTCAGCGATTCTCTGGCGCGTCCTGGAGGACTTCTCTTGTCTCTCATCCATTTCAGGCCGGTGCTTTCTCGGACGACCGCGTTTGGTAGTCTTGCGCACAATACCCTTGTAGCCGCCGATACACATGCCCCGTTGCCGATGCCGAGTCAAGGCATCATGTCGGGCGAACACATTACCGCAGAGGCATTCGTATGGTTTGTCACCGGTATGTATCTTGGCGTGGCGCTTAAGGTCGTGCCCGCGGACGAAGCATTTATCGCAGTGGCCACACTTGTACTGACGATCACCGAGATGTGTTTGGACATGGGACTTGATGTTCTCTTTCCTTCCAAACCGGCGTTCGCAACCGGGGTGTAGGCATACCCATTTTCCATCTTCTGGGTCAGGACCATGGATGTATGATGCTATCTCGTCAATGGTGACACCAGTTTCTTTGATAGAGGCATGGACCCTGGCGTCGAGATTAAGGCTGTCGATAGATGCTACCCTTGGAGAAAGTTTGGGTTTGGCCGAGCTAGGGGGAGCACTTGGTGTCTTCTTTGGAACCATACGGCTAGGCGTTGCAGGGTAGATAGGCATCTTCTGCGCCTTACCACTGTCCGCAAGGTACGGCATGGAGGCAAGGTCTGATGAGGAACTGAAAGGGGATGTAACTGACGACGACGACGTTGAAGAGTGGTTAGATGAAAAACTTTCAGACTTTGAAACTTCGAAACTAGAACCCTGCTGGCAGTCAAACACATCGAAACTATCCACTTCGAAAGAGGCTGTATTTGGGGGGAGGGCATATCAATCTTTTGCTGGGAGAAGGTTGTCCCAGCCACTCCTTGGAGAGACTTAGCACGTTGCATGTACGACGGCTGGGCTGAAACGGGAACAGACAATCTCTGCTCCTTGGTAGGGGTTGGCTGCATGTCGCCACCATACTGCGCAAGATCCACTGTTTTCTTGAATGGTGTTGTCGCAGGGGTAATGGGAAGATAGTCTTTAAGTTTCATCAGTGAGGGTTGCCTCCTCCTGTAAATAACACCAGGGCACTTACGCGTAGGTTTCGGCGTATGTGGTCTTTGCGCGGGACTGACATCCGACTGCACTGATAGTCGTCTCAGATCTGCAGGGATTGCGTTGGCCTGGTGCGGAAGTCCCGTTGTGAGGTTGTCGTGTGGGTAGAAATCCCAAGCGCCATTCTCCATGAGCTGTGCTTGCTGCAACTGCTGTTGCTGGATCAAATTAAGATGGAGGCTCATCGGCCGACTTTCCAGTCCCGGGGTCTCAGCCTTGGCGTAGGCTGGGTTCATGTATCCCATACTTGGTTGGGTTTGCAATTCTTCATGACTGAAAGTCTGGCACTCAGGCATCATGGGCATGGGTGTCGGTTGCGTCGAACGAGCATAGTGTTGCTGTTGCATTACCAGGGGACCTGCTGCGTTAGTATTTAAAAGGTTACCATCTTGCACGGTCTGCGATCGTTGCATGTGTAGAGATCTCTGGTCTAGACTCTGGCCGCGACGGTGAGCATGGTATCGGTGCATTGCCTGTGCAGGAAGACTAGGGACTTTTGCGGCATCAAGAGCGGAGGGTGTTGAGATCTGCCGCCGATGTTGTCGATGTCGTTCCTGTAGATTGCGATGTGGGTTCGATAACATGGTGGGCAAAATCTATGAGCCACTCGTCACAAATCGGTGGCGGGCAATTGACAGATCTAATTCTATATGTAAGTCTTCCGGAAAGCTGTGCGCATATTGCATAAAACCTCGGTATGCATACCTCACGCAGCGCTAGTCGTACGATAGATGGTATCAAAACCGACCTGTCCACTGTGTCAGTCGGTGAACTCTTCAACAAAGAAGACGGATAAGGGGAAAAAAGGGTTAGAAGGAGAGGAAGCTCGGATGAAAGAGAACTATATCGCTCTTCCGACTAGATCGGAAACTAATGCGACAGCGAGATTGAAGCTTCACTCAGGCTTCCCTGTGCGATTCCTGGACCTCTGGTTCTGAGAGGAAGAGGACCAAGGGCAAGATGAAGTATTTAGAGGTGGGAACCAGGGAAAGGTGGATGGAGAAGCTGAAGCTATCCCGATCTATCGCCCACGGTTCAGATCAACAATGGCGCAGTTGGCCCAGCAACGCACCCGGGTTGAGGCGTCAGGGAAACCAGCGCCCTTGGCATGGGGCCGTCCATTTGCGCTGCTGAGTGGATCGCCGGCGCTGCGCCTTGGTTCGAGCACGGAGAATATCGAACGAAAAAGTGGCCCAAACGCAATTAAGGCTGCGATCCGGCAGGTTAGTTACTCCTGCAAGGAGCTCGTTTCTGGTTCCCCCTCGCGGTCCAGACAAACACCCTATATGAATTATCGACGTCGCCGCCTCTTCTTGAAGAAAATGGACCCTGTCGCCTGTGAGGGTTCAAGACACTATCGCTTCATGATACGCCCTTCCTTTGCAATAGCCTGGATAATAATTGACGCCAATCATGAAACCATTTGATCAATAATTAGCAACTGGCGAAGGGATGGATGATGATGACGATTGAATTCGGTTGGTCTTCCAATCTCGATCGAGGGGGTGGTCCCAAGACGGGTCGATCATCTCGTCGCCTGCACTTCCAGGCATTCACGTGTGACGTAAGCCAACGCTCCCGCAGCGAATCCCGTGACCTGACTGCGTCACATGACTCGACCCAGGCCGAGGACCCGGAGAGCCTGATTATCCGAGATTTTCCCCGCTAGGGCCAATACGGCCAAAGTGCGCCGCACGTGATCACACAACCGATTTTAACGCACTAAGACCCTGCCAGTCTACATATTTTCGACACGATCGCAAGGTTGAGGAAGACAAGTCTTGTCGAGGTTAGTGATGACCCCGTACCCTGCGGTGATGGATATGGGATCGCAGTCGCTTGGATCACTTTGGTCTCTCTTTCTCTTCCCAGCGCTTCCCCTGGCTCAGCTATGCGAAATGGGCAAAGGAAGAGAACGGAGGCAAAATGACCGATGACACTTGCGCCTATGCATCCCAACATTCATCCAGCACAACGTGGATCTCAAAATGCAGGTTAGACTAACAGTCTCATGATACCAGGCCTTCATCAAGATGCAGATCTTCGTCAAGACCCTTACGGGTAAGACTATCACCCTTGAGGTGGAGTCCTCGGACACCATTGACAATGTCAAGTCCAAGATCCAGGGTAAGCATTTCTTCTCTCGCTACTCCGCACAGGAAATCCAAAGTGACCGTGACTAACATGAACATGTAGACAAGGAGGGAATCCCCCCTGACCAGCAGCGTCTGATCTTCGCTGGCAAGCAGCTCGAGGACGGCCGTACTCTTTCTGACTACAACATCCAGAAGGAGTCCACCCTTCACCTCGTGCTCCGCCTGCGTGGTGGTGGTAAGAAGCGTAAGAAGAAGGTCTACACCACCCCCAAGAAGATCAAGCACAAGCGCAAGAAGACCAAGCTTGCCGTCCTCAAGTACTACAAGGTCGACGGTGATGGCAAGATCGAGCGTCTCCGCCGCGAGTGCCCCGCCCCAGAGGTACGTTTCTTTTGGATATCCATCTGTTCCCTCTGTGGCAAAGTGACTAATAACTGTACAGTGTGGTGCCGGTGTCTTCATGGCTGCTATGCACAACCGTCAGTACTGTGGCAAGTGCCACCTCACCTACGTCTTCGACGAGTCCAAGTAAGCGATCCAATCTTGGATTGCTCCGCCTCTCTTGTTACCGGTGATGCATTGGGTGTTTATCTAGGGCAATTTCGGTGGATTTAGATTGGTGGATCTTAGGTTGAGGAGCATGGGTTGCCATAGTCCGCTAGGGGCCTTTGAAAATAAAATAAAAATTCGAAACACTCGTCCCTTGGCTTGGGTCTAAATCTAACGACTCGTAAAGTATATACATGAGCATTTAAACCCACGGCAAGAACATGCAAACGCGACAACAACAGCACCATGTTGAATGTTGGGGGGGGGGGGGGGGGGGTATATCTCAAACTGAAGCTCTTAAGCGAAACCGGCTCGCAGGTTGTCGTACTTGCTTTCCGGGTATTCCAGTGCGTTCGGGGTCTGATCCAAGGCAGCCGGTCCTCCAATGCCCTCGACGAAGGTTCCAATCAAGCTACCATCAGCTTTGTTGGCAGTCTTGCCTCCTTTGTCAGCGCTAGTCTCCCACCACATACCACCAGCGAGTCCATGATGTCTGATGAAAGCCGCTTTGGTCTCACCCATGCGCACATTGTCGTACGAGACCATCGTGCGGGTTGCAGGGTCATAGCTCCACGATGCACCGATACTGGGATCAACGTATTCCGTTGCCCCTGGTCTAGGAAGTGCCTTGTAGTCCCAAACCCCGTTCTCCCAGCTTCCTTCACCTACGCCGGAGAAACTCGTACCAGGACCATCGGTATTGGTGAAAGCACGTCCATAGATGGGCATACCAACAACAATCTTGGAGCGCGGCACAAGACCCGCCGTCTCATAATATGTAAGTGCGTCGACTGTTGAAAATGGGGTCGAGCCTGGCCTGTCAGGAGAAGGATAGAGATTTGCTTGATGGCCCGCAACACTGTCCCAGCTGCCAGCATAGTCGTAGGCCATTAAGTTGTAGAAATCCAGGTAGGGTGTCATTTCACGAAGCCTGAGCTTTGAGTAATGCTCCTTGCCTGCTGGGCAAGCAATGGTCAAATAGAACTTCCGATATGGGCCAGCTGCCCTGTCCAGGGTCTACACCGTGTTAGCACCGAGGAAAGAAGGGAGATAACGACATCAACTCACCTCGCGACACTTCTGCAGAAGCAGCACGAAGTTATATGCCTCGTAATCATCTACGTGGCCTGTTAGCAAGTCTCCATGACCGTCTTCTTGCATTTGCTTACCCTTTGGATATTCCCAATCGATATCAAATCCTTTTCATTTCGTTAGCAAATGATGACAGACACTTAAAATCCATTGATGCAACTTACCATCAAGACCAAGGTCCAACACCAGCCTTGTGGCAGTCTCCGCGAACCTCATGCGTCCGGCCTCCGTACTTGCCGGCTGGGCAAAATTGGCAGAGTAGGTCCACCCTCCGATAGAGAGCAGAACTTTCAGTTGCCTATCCTGCTGTTTGAGCAAGAATAGCTGCTTGATACATCCGTAGACATTAGTGCCGACGTCATTCCATGAGTCCGTTGGATAGTGCTTCTCAATGTCGGACCAGGTGTCTGTCAGGTACACTTCTCCGGACTCGGGCCGGACGTTGGCGAAGGCATAGAGGACATGGGTCAATTTATCTGCGGGGAGATCCTGGGGGTTGTGATTGCGCCCGTAGATCGCCTGGATCCGTTAATACCTTATGAAGGGAGCTCCTCCTAGACGCCAGCTTACCCAATTGACGAAATATGCCACAGACTTTAGACCGGAAGACATGGCTGGAGGGGTAGATGGGATCAGAACTGACGTATCACCAGGGTATCGAGAAAGAAGAAGAGCGAGAAGAATGCCAAGAAATGCAAGACAGTGGACAAGTTGAGAAGGTATCATACTCACCGAGATATAGTTGGTATTTTAAATTGAGTGCTCCTGCTGAAAATACACTGCAGCCTGATGGGGGTTGTACCTGCCTTAGGATCGACTTATGACGCGGGCCGGATACCCAAAATAACAACAGGGCTGAGAGTTTATTGGCTCAGGGTTTCCGTGCGGCGGTGCAGGGATGTGGGGTGTGGCGAGTGAGATGGATGTGGCTGACGAGCTGTCACTGACTGTGGCTAACGTAACTAACTAACTAAAGGATGACACGAGATGAGTAAGACATATTGTTATCGACGAAGAAATCTAACGGTTTTATATAGATGTAAATGTAGTCTATTAGACTAGCTCAGGGCGCCAGTTTGTACGACCATTTGAAACCAACACCAGGCCTTCGGTGGCGTAGTCATCCTCTGCCTGACCTGTTATCTTCTCTATTGAAACCTCCATGTTCCTGGTTCTTCATGTCCAGGTGACTGCGGCATTCCCTTGTCCCTCCGCACGCGGCTCCCTTGCCATATAGCAGAGTGGTATGGGGATGGTTCATCCCAAGTACTCATACTATTCTCATATGATGATGATCTGAGTCGTGTAACCTGTCAGAAGGACAGGGCGTTATTACGGAAGGGGCTTCCTTTTTCCGACGACCAGGATATTTTCTTGCGGCTCTTGAATCCCTGGGTAGTGAGTGGTGAACTACTTGGACAATCGAAAGTCCGGGTGATTGTCAAGGAATGTGGACGAATGTCATCTCGCCTCTCTTGTTTGGCCGTAGGGGGATATCATGGGGATTCAGGTTACAATCTCTTAAGAGTACGATGACCATAGGTGGTATTAGAACCACAACGGTGGTCTGCGGGGTAGGGCGGCTTCCTAGATACTCCCTCGCATGCGACGAAGAACTGACCGATCTTAGAGGTCAGAACATGTCAGATCTCAAAAAATATATCTGCCAAAACGGGTCCGTGCACATGATCTATCTACTTTGGACTGGATCATGATGCCAATATTCCTTGGAATGTCTGTTTGAATTGTGTGCAAATCCCACATACATCCAGGACAATCAATTTGGACAACAGTCCTGTCATAAATCCAGTAAACGATACTTCTTCATCCGTGTTGTTCTCAGTGTCCACCACCTACATAAGCCTGAACACAGCAAGGTGGAAGGAAGACACCGATACAGGAATCGTGACTCCAAGTCACGCACCTTGAGTTTCTAAAAGGGTAAAAATATGTTGAGTTGTTGAGTAAGAATTCCTTGCGTAGGAGAACTCCGATTCAGGTCGAGTGCAAAGTAAACGAAGCAAATCCCGAGACATCGGCAACCCCAAAAGAGTGAAGGGGAAAAAAAAAAAAAAAAAAGAAGAATGTCGAGTAAATCGCCTTGCATCAGACAGACGGCAACATCACACGCGCTTCATAGTCAAGGACGATCTCGAATGTCAAACCGGCTGTTTGGCGCAAGCGTACATGGGACAGACAGTTGAACCTTAGTAGGAACAAGACCAGACCTACCTTATCTGGGTTTTACTGTGGATCACTCTTGTTCCTCCTCAGCTGAACCGTGATGCAGGTCGCCAATCTGGGCATCTGATTGGTACCCGCGGCTTTAAACTACTGCAGGGCTTCTCTGCACGGCCACATTCCGATCCCACCGACCACCAAAGGATTGGGAGGGGGGAAAAAAAGAAATTTTCTTTCATGAAAAGTCTGTCTCAACTCTCAACTGCCGTGCATTTTGTGCTAAACTTAGTCTTGCTTTGTGCCCTTCCCTGACTCCACGCAGCTTTCAGCTGGGATGTCCTCGACTAATCGACGCTAAAAGGGATTGTGCATAAACAGTCCCCTCCATGTGGTTCGGTATCTCCGAGGGACTAGTCGGCGTTAAGACGTTACCCAGGGAAGAAGGAGCAATCGCTTGCTTCCCTCGGAAGGTCGGATTATTACAGCACTGTATGTCCATCCATCTTGGACCATGAATACTGCTGGACAATCCATATTAGGGCTACTACGCCGGAGTCGTACTAACTACTGCTACTACTAGAACTAGTACTACTTACCTAAGGTAGTATAACCTAAAGAAAAAA